ATAATTAACGTATTATTATTTTAGATTTTAAGTGGAGCAGTAAATAAATTTATTTTACAATGATGTCTTTTTTTTAATTAAAATTTTTTTTTTGTGTCTGTCATAACTATTTGGGACAGTAAAAATCCATACATTTTTTTCAACTACATCTTTTCCGGTAGGAAAATGAATCTAGTTGGTACTTTAGGAGGTCAACAGTGAAAAATTTAATATAGTTTTCCAAATCTTCAGGAAAAACATACAAAAAAAAGGTGGTCAAGTGGGTGTCGCTCTGCTGTATAGGTTACAAGTGAGTCACTGTGATGGATTGTGTTAAATTTGAATTAAATGATATAATATCATTGTATAAGAAAAATTACTGAGACCGAAGACGGTCATTCAGCCTATGATATTACTAAGTATACTTGATGATATCATTGTGAATAAAGTTATTTATGTATTATAAATTTATAACCTATTTAAGTGTAACCTTGTTTTAAATTTTCGATTCTAAGCTATAAAAGTTGAACATTTTATAAATTTTTAACTACAAAATAATTATTAAATTTTAAATTTAATACATATTCGAACTTTGTGCCTATGCGTATTTTTAATATTTTTCAACTGCTATTGTAACAATATATCAGGAGCCTTGTATTAAATTTCACGGTTTTTTCTAAACTACAAAAATCAAAAACTAACAATGTCCGTAAACAGCTCAAAGAGTCAAAATATTTTCAAAATTGCATGGTGTATAGAAAATGAAAATATAAACATTCAGTACATTTTCATGTGTCTACAGTTATTCCTTTTTGAATTACAACAAAATGACAAAATCGTTACATGAGAAATCGAGTGAATATCCAATTTTGTAAAAATATGAACTTCAAACAATCGTAAAAGTTTAATTTGACTTTCTTGTAGATATTTTTTTCTTGATAAAGGTAGGCAAAATTATGAAAAATCTTGATTATGTAATGTACTGTCCAGCAGAGTAACACCCTCTTACCCACTCTTTTTTTCTTTTTTTATCAATACGATCTGTTATGTATTTCTTGAACAGTAAATGGTTATGAGGTATCTGCATTGTTGATCGTAATAGAATCATCTCCATGAACTTTTGCGAAATATTATTGAGAATTTCTGACACCAGTGTCACGTACGGGACCAGAAATTCTCAAAATTCACGTCAAATAGAATTTTTGGGAGACGAAAATTCTCGTAGTTTATTTTATTATAAAGATAAATTTAAATTGAATGAGGTAAATATCGAATAAATAGTTACTCTTAAAAATCCTGCATTCGAAAAATTCAAATAAGATTTTCCATTCCACCCACGTCTATATGATAATTCTAAAAATTATTGTAATAAATATGAAACAACCTGATACACCCGTATATTTTTAAGACTCCTGGTCGAAATGATCAAACTTGGTTTGTATTATATATTCATATTCATAATAATACTTGTGTGTGTGAGTGTGTGTGTGAATGTGTAATTATATCTCAATTAATATCCCATATTAATAGATTATAAATATATTTAAATTATTTGCATAATATTGTATTAATTCATTAAAACATAAAATAATATATATTTCTATATGTGAAAAGGTTATTGTTCTGTTTTTGTAATCCCCCATATCTAAACGATGACAGGGTGCAAATGACGTATCAATAATACGTCTGGTGGTGAATGAAAAACTTTAGTAATTATAGTTTTATACGGTAAAAAATAATTATAAAGATTGAATAAATTTATTTTTCTCACACAAACTATAATATTTGTCTAATAACTAATATATATAAAATATAAATAAATACTAATGCACAATAGTTATAAGTTTAGGTAACTTTTAACTTAGTTTATACTATAATAATTAATAACCTATTCTTTTTTACATCTAAGATCTAGGCGATAATTTATATCATCATTGACGATATATAATAATTCATTTAAACCTAATATAATATATCATATTATATATCTTAAGTTTCAGCTTAGGTACTAATTCTTAAATATAAACAATTTCCTATATCAAAACCTATATTATCAATGTTCTAATAATCTGATAATAAAACACATTTTGGTAGTTTAATTTTATAACACTTCTTGGCATTAAGTTATGTTGTGTTCATCTATAATAAAAAGTGCCTAAATGGAAACATTGTTTATCATATACTTTTATAATTCAAGAGCTTAAAATATAATTAAAATCTGATCAAATTATTTTTCTTTAAAATTTGTTAGGTGATTATATACGCATTATATTATAATATGTATTATGTATTATAAGTTAAAATAATTGGTGTTATTAAATGTAAACCGTGGTTTTTCACCAAAATTTTAATAAGTAGATTAAAACTTTCTTTGCTTAAAGAGTTTTTAAAAATAAATTTTGGTAGGTATTTGCTGAAGTATTATTTTAAGTAAGTCTTTTAAAAAACGTTCAAGTACCTAATTTATACATGCTATTTTATTAGACATCTATGTATAAGATCTACCTATTTGAATAATTGTTTTTCTTCTTCAATAATTAAATGCATTATTATAATAAATAAAGTGAGAGTTTATTGTAATATACTTATAACGCATGACATTCTATTGTAGTTAAATCATCGTATCTATTGAAGCTATTGTTTTAATCGATTTTATTGATATTAATTGTTTCTCCTTGTTGTCTCCTATGTTTCTCAGTGTACTTATTAATCTATTATATGAAGTTTTTATATCAAACCCAGCAATCATAGGCGTTGTTAGGGGGAGGTGGGGGTAGGGGGCTTAACCCTAAAAAAAAAAATTTGACCACCCTACGGCACAGTCTATGACAGCAATGTTAGGTATAAATGTATAATATATATTTTTAAAAACTTCTTTCCTAACATATTATTATACAATATATAAACCTAAAATTCAGAACTTTGTGATAAATTTTAAATGAAATTTCCCTACAATAAAAATACATTGATTCGAAAATAATAATACCATCACTATACATTATCAAACAGGAAACATCATTCCAAATGTAAGAATTTGTGTGTTTATACCTAGTTTTAAAATAAAAAAAAACATCGTACCCAGAAATAATATATCATATAATAATTTAAATATTTTAAATAATTTTATCAATGAAATAAATAATAAATAATATGCTATTAATTAATGTTGCATTGTCTTGTGAAACCCAATGATCAGTCTATGTTCTGTAGTAAAATTTTATTACAGTAATTTGAGTTATTGAGTTCAATAATAGTACGTCTAATGTCTGTATACGTTTTATATGTCTCGTTTATTATTATAATATATTGATTCATCATCATGGTCAAGATTAATATTTAATATTATATTTTGATTCTGACTAAAATGAGAATTATAATCTTTTGTTTTATCTGGTATACTTTTTGTAAGTTCCTCCAAATAAAGAGTGTACCTATTCCTATCTATTAATTCGAATACTTCATAAATATAAATAATAATAATGAAATACAATCGTTAATGTTTTAACTGCCTTTAACTTTCTGTAATACTTTTTTCATACATATTATATTATAATTATACCAGTACTTCACTTTTAAAAAATGTAAACAAAATAATTTTTATTTGTTAAATTATCAACAATTAAAAATAACAAAATTAAAGAATTATTTTAGTATTAAAATAAAACTATACAATATAACGAAAAATAAATTTCACAGTGAAAATTACCATAACAATTTTTAACATTTTATTTATATCAATGTTACGTCTTGTGCTATCGAGTAAGTGTATTTATTTTGAACTAAAAATATACAAAATTCTAAACAAAACTTATAAACATGTCGAGTCTAGTCACAACACTTAGGTGCATGTAAATAACTCGAAACTCTAAAACAAGTAATAATTATAATTAATATACATCACAACTTCCAAGTGACGAATAATTATAATTTAATGTGTTTTGAGTCACAAAAATACAAACAATATTATGCTCTTGTTATTAAGGTTCTGTTATCCCCGGTGAATTCGCATTTATACACTATGTATAATAAAGAACAACAAAATGCAATTCCTATACATATAAACGTGTCCATTAAATGAATGACTAAATATTTTAAGATTCATGATGGTATATCATAACAAATTTTATGTAAGGTAAAATATTAAAATTATGTGCGTGTGGATTTCGGTTGTATAAGTTTTAATATCTAAGTCACACTTTTTGTTAGACATTATTATATTGAGGTTCAATTTCATCACATGTGTCATGTAACTTGGTTCATAAGTGCATTGTACATACCTATACTAACATAATATGATTTATATATAATTCATATAATTTATAAAACCATCTATATACATTATACACATACAAATCAAGAATGTCAACCTGAATAGTCAATACATTTAATGTACGTAAAAAAACACAGTAAATTGTTGTTCAAAACACCTATAGGTTTATGGTTAATAAACAAAGCGTTTTTATTAATTTTAAATTAATACTTATTGCTGTACATTATATTTCCTACGTGTACAATATAGAATTCGTTTTAAAACAAATTACTCAGCTCGTTAATTATTATTAAGTAATTTATAATTTCTAGAAATAATATTATACACTTTTTGATAATAAGAATCGTTTATATAATAAATTGTCAATGAATATAATTTTTTAGACGAAATGGTACATATATCGATCTTAAAATAATTATAACTATATTGAATTTTTGTTTATTTAACCAATATACATATTGTGTTAATCTATAACTCGATTAGTTATTATATTATTATTCGTACACCTTGTGAAATCATAACTTTTAGTTTAAATTCCGTTAAAAAAGACTTACCGCTGCTGTGTTCATCGAGAAAATGTTTTCAGACTACGCGAGCGAGTATCGCCTACACGCACACACAAACAGGGTGTGAGCAAAACAAGGGTGGAAGGTATAAAAGACCTGCGTTTACGATGTTGCGGGTCACTTTCGGGGCAAAAGCTCATTTTGACGATTGACTATCAGTGTTTGTGCTTTTGTATAGTATAACCATGCCTTTGAGACCACAGATCGCAACAAAGTGTTATTTTTGTATGGTTTTACTAGCGACCGTAGTCATATTCACAGTGGATAATGCAGCGGCTAAACGTGAGTGATTATTTATCATTAATAATATTATAACTTGTTTTAAAAATAACAATTATTTTGTTACAATCCGGATTTATAATATTAAAGAACTACACATTTTCCATAAGTTTTAATATCTTTTTTTATTAAATAAATAAGTTATTAGAATGGTGATTGAACACTGTGTTTAATGTTCATTTAACAAGCATATAAACATTTTTATTTTATCGATATCTTTCAATCGTAATATTAATTTTAATGTTATATTTTTAATAAAATGTTTTTCATTAGTTTAGTATATTTATTTAGATATAAAAAAACACTAAACAATAATACAATAAACTAATACAAAACATTCTATTAAAAAAACGTTAAATTTAATATTACGATCATTAATTAACGATAAAGTAAAAATATTTATGCTGATTACTTTACACAATTTTTAATCACTATTTTAATAACCTTTTTATATAATAAAACATGTATAAATATAACCATAAAAAAAATCTTATATTATTTTCTATGGATAAATTATTTATTTTGACCATCAATCAATAAATTTGAAAATTAAATGGTATATTGTCAATTGCATATCACATCCATCTTTTTTCTGTCGAAAAAAAATAGTAATAAAAATTTTTCCGATTTCATACAATATAACAAACCGAAATCATTTATTACAGTTTTTCAAAATGTTTCAATATAGTTGATTAAATATATTCGTAATTCATGTGTATTGAAATATTAAAATATGTAAGGAACTTTTTTAAGATAAAATAAAATAAATATAATTTAATAAAAAAAAAAATTATCACGTGTAGTATACGATTAAAACAATTTTACAAACAATTATATTCTACAAATAGAATTTATATATTTCTAATTATCAGAATTTATCTTTGAATAAATACATATTAATTAAAAACTAATTAAATTAATTGAATTAAATATGAATACCTAAAATATCATATTGTAGTAATACATTATGAACTATAAGATTTATTTTTTCAATGAGATTCTAACATAAAAATGGGTATAAATTATTATATCTCGATTTTTAAAAATTACAATATAACCAAAATTGATTAATAATAATATTGCAGGAAATAGATAATAAAATAATAAATGCGATATTGGTCTATTTGAATTTTAGATTATATTAATAAGGGAATAATGAGTATTAATACAACTATAAGCTATTAATATATTAAAATAATGAGTTTATGTTAACAGTACATTTTTATTTGTTTGTGTAACATTTTATTTTTAAATGTCTGAAATAATATATTAGGTAGATTTTCTACAATTACTTTTACTTTATACATAAATATTTATGTGTTCCATCTATGGATAATCATTTATAAATATATGTATTAAACAATATTTCTATAGATTAATAATTATGCATTTATCCATTCCATAAGTAATTATAAAATGTATAATATCAGTCTCAAAGTAAACAAATAAATTTAAAAATCTTGCAAACGAGTCAAGTAATAATATAACTTTTGAGTTTCGAATAGCATACCCAAAAGTAGTTAGGTATTATACTCGTACAACACAAATACACTAATATTGCCTGTATATGTCTCCGTGCAATATAATAATAATTATAACTAACACATTCAAAATGTTTATGTTTATTATGTAGGTACAAAATAAGAAAATATCTGTATGCTATCAGTTCTGGTGAAATTAATCATTAAAATTGATCAATATTAATGTTTCTTGAAGTGATAACAGTGTATTATATTAAATATAAATATATTATTATATAATATTTTTTTTAGTTGGATGGATATCTTCAAATGTATATCCCTTTATGTTTATAATGCCAAAATAATACCACAGGTACCTCCTAATAATTATTATACACTTGGTCTAATTGTGTATTAAAATAGTTATGACAAAAATTTATCTAATTCATTATTTAACACTAAAGTTTTTTTAATTTATTTTTTAGTAATGATAATTTATATTTTTCGTTTTATATTTTTAACTAACTATACATATTAAGAAAAATACATGTTCATAACAATTCACAATTTGATTGTTGGACAATTTTAGACAACTTAAAACAATACTATCAAGGTAGATACTATTATAAATTATTGAAAATAAACTCCAAAAGTTTTGTTTAAAATTATAATTAATTAAAATTATTTTAATATGTGTTATTATTGAAAACAGTTATATTAGGTACTCTAGTCTATAACTTATATTGAATTATATATTTAATAATTGATAATTGAGTGGGACAAGCTAAAATGAATTAATCTTTGAACACAAAAATTAAATTCAAGAATAACTTAGTAATAGAAATTAAACGAAAAATGTTGAAATCTCACTAAATCCCGTCTACTTTATGTACCACGAAAAAAATATTTAAAAACTTCAGTACCTAAATAATATCCATACATATAGTAATAGTATAATACATAAACTTTTTATTAAAAGTGGTATAATCTATTTAAAATATTTTAAGTAAAAAACATAGGTATACTTCACTATTTAAATATGATATTATAATATACATACACCAACTATAAAATAGAAAATTACGTTTTTTAATATTAAATAATTATTTACACTTTTAACTTTTAAGCACCCACTACATATAATACATCTATGTAGACTTATTAATAAAATACTACAACTTGATGATCACAAAGAAGCAATACACTATTCATTCAAAATAATGATTACAATTTTCAATTTACCCCCAAAATCAATAATATACGGGGATTTAACGGTTTTACTCAAAATTACAATGAATCACAATATGAAATTCTTGTGACACCTTGTAACGTTGGATCTAACACAATATAATATGACTTACTTCAGATATTATGTTATTTGATTTTTATGGTTTTCATGTTTGAAAATTTAGTTTGAAACAAGTAAAATAAATACCCGCATGGATTATCTGTTTCTGGTTACTTTGTGTGAAAGTACAAAATCATTTTTAGAAAGAATGAAAGAATTTAGGTACTAAAAACTTGCATTTTGGAATTGAGATAAACCAAAACTTTATTAGCAATATCTCAATTCGTTGAATTGCCGACAAATTGTACATTCGTGACAGACGGCAGACACATACATAAAATTCAACTTTTCGATAAGATAACATAGAATTTATCTTTTCAATATTTCAAAACTACCAATGTCACGTTATCGTAATAATTACATCACTATATAGTATATACATATAGGTAGTCTCAAATATTATGTCAATAGCTTATTAAACGTATTCTTTGAAAATGTATAAATACAACTTGCAGTAGGAAACATAAAATATTTAAAATGTATTTATGTGGTAATGTGGTATAGAAATAAATAAAAAATATCTACGTTTGGAAACTGATGAACATCGAAAATAATAATATAATAATACAAAAAAAATCAAAGAAAATTAGCATCAATAATAATAACTAGATTTATTATTCTCTTTGACGTCTAATATCATTGTCATTTCTCTTTATGCAAGAGCTCTAAAATGGAATATTGCTTTTCTATTTTAAAATATTTTTATATGCACAGCCAATAAATTTAATTAGGTACCTGTCACATACTATTTAAACGTATTTTAGTATTGATATAATTTAAATAGTTTTAACAATTAACAATGGTTTATAGTTTGATAAAACTTTTTATTATAATACGAGAAGGTAGACATTAAATATAAAATATTTTTTTTGTTTTTGATGTGTGTTTTACTATTATAGACATAGAACTGCTATTGTCTAATTTCATAAGTATATAACCAATAACAATAGTGATTGGGAACTTAAGGAATAAAAAGTTGCTCTGCTGTACAGTAGGTTACAAGTGGTTCACTGTATAATGGATAGTATTAAATTTGAATTCAATGATATAATATCATTGTATAAGAAAAACGATTCTGAGCGGAGACGGTATGTCAGTCTAGATATAACTTTTACCGTATAAGACATATTATATACATATCTATGGTATAAAAAAAAATGACCTATAATAGGTACCTATAATAAATTTAAATTAATCATATCACAATATCCATTAGGCACTTATAACGCGTTATACATCAACAACAAACCCTGATACTATCATAGATATATAGTATAGTATACTTTAGAAGTGTCAAGTACCCACGAATAATATTAAACAATCACAACAAAATAACTAAAAAAGTTATTCTAGGTTTTTTAATATGTAATTTCGTCCAAATTTGAACTTAAAATGGCTATAAAAATAAACTGTAAAAAAACCTTAATAAAATAAACCTTATGTATTTTTAAGATTTTTTGGTAACAGAATAAACTACTTACGTGGGATCTTGTTTTAAATTTTAACTCGTTAGATATGAAAGTTAAACAATTTTATAAAGTTTTAAATACAAAATTATTATTCAATTTTAAATTTGATAAATTTTGTCAAAATTCGATCTTTAAATACTAATAACAAAAAATTAAATAAAAAATTGTGCCTATGTATTTTTAATATTTTTCAACTGATATTGTAACAATATATCAGGAGCCTTGTATTAATTTTTTACAATTTTAGGCTCAACAGATAAAACTTTATTGATATTTATAGAAAAAAAAACTAAAAAAATTGAAAACTGAAAATGTCCGTAAACAGTTCAAAAAGAGTAAAAATATTTTCAAAATTGTATGGTGTATAGAAAATGCTAATATAAACATTAAGTGAAATTTTCATCTATCTACAAATATTCGTTTTTGAATTAAACAAAATAAGGAAATCATTGAAATCACGAAAACATTTGAATTTCAAACGCTCATAAAAATTTGATTTGACTTTCTTATGGACATTTTTTTTTTGATAAAGGTAGATAATCTTATAAGGAATCTCGTATTAAATTCTAAATCTTAGATTTCAAAAGAAAAATTTTTACGAATTCTTAACTCAAAACAATTTGCTAATTTTCGTGATTTTTCCATATTTTGTCAATTTTTGAACTTTAAATGCTTATAAAATAACTATGACTAAGGATTTTTAATATTTTTTATCTGCCTTTGAAA